ACTGGAAAAAGAACTATATGATGGGCAGAAAGAACTCAGAGTGAAAATTCAGAAGCAGAAAAGCAGAAGTTTTGTCAAGGGTTCATTGAGGCACTAGAACCTAAGTAAAGACAGAAAAAGAGGGTGTGGGGGGTGAGGGAGAATGGTGAAAGACCTTGAGTCCTGGTAAGGAGTCTGGAGTTCATCCAGGAAGCACATTCATTCATCCATTCATTCATTCAACAAACATTTGGGGAGCAACTCTTCTTCAGCCACCATCATAGCTGCCAGAGATGGAAGGAGGAACAGAGACCACACCATCCCCTTGACAGTGATTACGAAAACAAAGCCCTGAGTATAAAAGGGAAGTAGAGGGAGTTAAGGGAAGACACAGCAGCAGAAGCCAACCTAACTAAAGGTAAGGAGCAGTTATGTCTCAGCTGAGAACAGAGGATCTAGGTCAGCCAGATGAAAAGGGAATGGAAGCTGAAAGGGCACTAAAGGATCTCAGGGAAACAAGAGGGCAGTGCAGGTCAGGCTCTGGAGAAGTCCAGTGTGGCTGGGCAGAGAAAGTGGGGAGGGTATGAACACAGGATGGAAGACACATCTCAGAAGACAGGCCAGGAGGGACAAGTACAAGGAGCAGCAGGTTGCTGGCCACTCTCTAAGGCGGCAGGAGATGCTGGGCAGTGCAGGCTGCTACATTTAGTCTCGGCCCCAGGGAAGAATGGACACGCCAGGGGAATGGACCAGCAGTTACAGGGATAAAAGACAGAAAACAAAAGACACAGCTGTAGGAGGTCAAGACCAGAGACAACAAGAGGTGGAATGGAGCAATGGAGGGAAGGAGGAAGATGGAAGAGAGTAACTACTACAACACACAGAGCTAGAAGAGCATGTAGCTGAAGGTGTTCACTGAGATTTTCTAGGAAGAAAGATGGATTTAGAATAGAAAAAAAAAAGATGTAAAAAGTTGGTTTAGGAAATTAGGGAGGGATTAAATAAACAAGAAAAAAAAATTCCCCAATGAATATCCTTCTCCCATCGTCACTTGCCCCTTGATAAATGGCTCCAGAAGTGGGAATCTCATCTCCTTCCTAGATGGGAGAGCTCCATGCCCTACCACCTAATGGTTATAACTGGCATTTATCCTCAGCGCAGGTCAATGCCTGCCATAAATTTTATGCACTGACCCTGGTTCAAGGGCAAATTACAATGAGCTTCCTCCCTCTTCCTGTTATATTCCCTCTCAATTGAGGAAGACTAATTGTTTCTGATTCACTTACATCAAATGCTTAGAATCATAAACATGTGAGCACTCCAATAGGTGGGCTTCATTTTGACAACTGCATTTCATATTGGAAGAGACTAAGTCATAGGAAAAAGAGTAACTAAGCCACAATCACATACTTTACCCTGGTTGAGCTGATCTTAGAGCTCTTGGCATCTGAACTCCATCCCACCCCCAGCACTCTCTCATTCTGTTGTGCTGTGTAGTGTTATCAAACCACTAAACCTTAGCTCTGAGAGTATTTGCATCTCAGAGGGAATTCTGGGCTTTGCTCTCAAGAGACCCATTGAAATTAAACAGGGTTGAAAAATAACTAAGCCTACATAAAGCATGAACAGTATTTCCAGGAATTTAGCAGTGACTCTGTCCCTTATTTAGAGCTTCACATGCCATGAAGTCGAAAACTCAAGAGTGTAAGTGAGCTGCAGCATTGTGATGTTTAACTGTCAAGAGAATTGTCTCCACAAGCCCTAAAGTAAGGACACTGGGTCTGTGGCAGCTGGCAGGGTAGATGGCCTTTGTCACCTGGTGACCACAAGGCCTCTTCTGGAGTCTCAGGATCTCCAGGTCAGGTCACACTGGTCATCGTGTTCATTTGCTCCACTGCTGGACTCTCTCCCACCACACTGAACTTCAGCTTGTACAACTCTCATGCATAGCATTTCATAACCTCCCAGGCAGCTCATTCCAGCTTTGCACAGAATAGTCTCTGTGTGAGGGACTGAACATTTGCCCCACTGCCATGTCCCTGTACATAGTCAGGGGCCACCATACCTATCATCATGGCTCATCCAGGTGACAGGCCTCTGACTGTTTGCTAAAGCTGTTTGTGCACCCTGAGCCTCTGTATCTCCAAGGTAAACATCCCCAATTCTTTCCACTGTTTCTTATGTAACCTGGTTTGAACTGGCTCTGTCATTCATCTAGATCTTCCTAAGCATGCCGACTTGTCTAGATGGTTCTTAGTGCAAAGCCCAGAAATAAATGCAGCAACCCAACGGTGGACCAGCTGGTGCCTGCTCAGAGCAACCCAGAGCCTTTGTCACTCTTGCTCGACACTTCTGTTAACCATACCCACATCACTGAGCCCAAACTTAATGCGGTTTATGATACCATCCCAAGAACAGGGTCTATTCTTAAGTATCATGTTGACAGCTATAACACCCACCCTCAGTCTGTGTATGTTGTCTCAAGTATTTTCTCGATTCCCCCATTCCCCGTGGTCTCTGCTAGTCTGGTGAAATCAGTCAGTGACTACAGTCACTCCATCAGCCAGGGCAGGGCTGGTAGCATGATGCTTTCACAAGGTCTTAGACTTGATACCAAATCGCAAACACAGCCAGTTATGAACTTCCCATAACCTAAAATAGCCTCTAGCCTCTCCTCTTTGGGAAACTGCACAATTTGCCATTGAGTACATTGCCCCTCAAACTCCCCACCACCAATCTCTCCCAACCATAAGGAGTGGCCTCAGGGTGAGTAAACACAGGCGATCCAATCAGAGGAAATGCTGGGAAACTTGGGAAAAGAGTAAGTGTCTTTCTACTGGGATTGCTGACATAGGATGTAAGTGTCCAACTTTCTCTATGGAGGAAAAGACATGCTGAGAGAAACCAAGCAAAGTTGAACAAATGAATGAATAAAGGTCTAACTACAAAAACATCATTCAGTCAGGTGTTAGTGGCTCATGCCTATAATCCTGACTACATGGGAGGCTAAGATCTGGAGGATCATGGTTCAAGGCCAGCCCAAATAAATAGTTCATGAGACTCCATCTCCAAAATAACCAGAGAAAAATGGACTACAGGTATGGCTCAAAAACCCTGAGTTCAAAACCCAGTTCCATATACACACACATACACAAAATTATTTCAGGAAAAAAAACATCATTTAGACCTTGGATCTCCAACCTTGCTTGAAGCCTGAGCTCTGTTTAAACTCACTGATTGCATTAACCAGCAAATTACCTTTTTGCCAAAATCAGTTTGGGCTTGATTTCTGCCACTGAGTGGAAATCATAATTCCACAACTTTCCAGTAGAAAGAGCAAGTAACGCTAGTCAAACCCCTTTCCAAAGTCTAACACTGCAATGAAGCCCCGATGTACAGTATGGTTTCATGGTAGAAACTTAAGTTCTTGAATCTGGCCTCTATCCCGACTGGCTTTGGAGGCCTTGGGCAGATGAACAAAGCTTTTGTGCCTCATTCTCCCCATCTGTGCAGTACAGATACTAACTGTACCTAATATATGGGGTTGTTGGAAAGAGTTTGTGCAATGTCTGGCACACAGAAATGCTCACAACACTAATTGTTTACATTATCAATATCATCATTACCATCATTGTTATTGTTATGCTATTGTTGTTATTACTGCCAGTTCCGTTACACTGCCAAAGTCCATGCTTTACTTCTCAACTATGTGCTAGAACCTGGTGCCTCTGTCCTCTTTTCTAAGGGCTCCTCTAATGTCATTGCAGGGAGAATGTTTCTTTAAATATCTTCGAGAATCACATCAACTCTTCCCCCACTCTGATCTCTTTGCAGAAATGAGCCAACCATTATCAAGATACAACCTAACTCTACCTAGTTGCTAAAATGAGGGTTCTAACTGGTTCAGGGTTATAGCTAAGGAGTAGGAACACTGACAGGGGTGTGACACTGGGCCCCGAGCCCTAGGCTGAGGATTAGGACCTACATGAGTTTCTCTCTGCTGTGGTGAGCACATAGTCCTACCTTGTTTATATTCAGTCTAGCCAACTCAAGGCAACTCTCAGAAAGTGAAGTGGAGCTCCAAATTAAAAGGTAGCCTTGAGCTGTCAATAAAATTATGCATAAAGGAAATGTTTTAAAACACAGTAGTGACTTCCTTGAGACAGATGTGCATGTGTTTTTTTTTTAATTCAAGTGTGGGAGTAAATAAAAAGAATGGCTGCTACACTGCCATTCCTCCCCTCCCTGAAGCTGAGGATGCCATCTTTGATACACAAAAAACTGCACCATCTTTGAAAAATGGGGAATCTTGTCTTTTCTACTTACTTCTGGAAAGTGGCAGGGATTATCATTTGTGTTTATTTGTTTGGGGTGGGCAGTTTCTTTGTTGTATCCCTGTGCTTGCCTGTTAGCATGACTGATCATCTCTCTCCCAAGCCTGGGCCTCAACAGCTCCCACGAACCTCTCCCTCAGCACCCCTGCCTCTTCTTTCACAGCATAAATTTCCATGCACAGGGATCATTTGTTAGCCTATCTGTCTCCTCCACCAGACAATGTCCAGATCTGTTATCTCCACATTCTCAGCACTAGGTTTAGTGGGGACATCAAATAACAACCACAAAATGCTGAATTTATGAACACATAAATGGATAGAAAAATCAGTTGATGAAACGTCTGTCTCCACGAACAGCTAAGCAATTCTCCAAGGCTCACCTCCTCCCTCTTCTTGACACAGTGATACATTTGACCAAACAAGTCTTGAACATTTGTATATCCACCATCCTGTCATAACATCAAGGTATACCTTGTTTTGCTCTTGCTCTTGCTTTTCTTTTTTTTCCTCACATGGCTGACTAACTCCAATTACATGCACAACTGTAGGAAGGCATTTTCCATGACTAGGCATCAATATTCTAGTGTTCTACCCAATGAACTCTTGCAAACAGATGGCCTTGAGTCTCCTTCTAGGATTCTGTGACAGCCAGTATTCCACATTGCCCTCCTTCCCTCTCACTCTTACCTTCAAAGCTCCCAGAAAACAAGTAAATCCAGGTGATGGCTGGGATGCAGAGCAGAGTCAAAGAGGCAGCCAGGAATTTCCGTCTCCCTCTGCAGATTCCCAGCATCCTCTCAGAAGTGGCAATCCCTAATCCCAGCGCCGTGTCTCTGTCAGGAGCGTCAAGTCCTTGGCCTCCCTCATAATATTTTCTGAAAGAAGAGCAAAGAGGAAGAGCTGAGACCTTAGCAAGGTAAATGGATGCAAACTGCATCCACTGGGTAGATGCTGAAAATAGATCCCCTAGCCTATGACTTCCTGCCTACTTTTTTATCACAAGAGATGACAAATAATGCTGTGGTCTTGCAGTCTATTATCAAAACCAAGACAGGTTAAAAAAAAAATGATGAAATCTGCAAGGGCTCTTTTTCTCACATGCATGCATACGTAACTCTTACACTTCAAAGGAGCACTTAGTTAGCACCTATTATGTACCAAGCACAAACCAGGTGTTTCAAAACTAGAGTATAGTTTGACTTCAAAGATCATAGTTTAATGAAAGAGAATCAACAACAACAACAAAAAATCTGCAGAAGCTTCAAGAATGTAACAAGTGAGATGTACATGGAACCCTGTGAAAGGAAGATGAAGTTGCCGATAGATCCGAGTGTGTTCCAGGAAGAGGGGACCATGAACAGCACCTGAGAATGAAAAGCACATGCAAAGGAAAGGAGCTTGGTTCGGCCATGACATCCACCTGCACGAAAATGGACCTCAGTCACAGTAAGAGAACCTAAAAAACAACTCAACGTCTATCATAATAGTTCCTGCCTTCAATTTGGATGAAGAGGTAGCTGCAGAACAGCATGGAAACAATAAAAAGTGTGCAGAGAATGCACAGGAACACACAACGCATCTTATAACCAGCCTAGAAAGGGGCGTTCCTTAGAACTAGACAGAAGAGTGGCCATCATGTGTTAAGAGTGAGAATGTTGATAGGAATGGAATACAGCGCCCATGATCTTTCACCCGAATATTTGACCAATAAATCAGGTAACTTATAAAAGACTTAAGAAACCAACAGACCATGAGATCTCCTCTCCACTATGCTCTAACAGTGATGTCACATGACTACAGGTGGCGAGGTAAATCTAAAAGGAGATTCCCTGACAGAGTAGAACACTGCTCCCCCAATACAGACAACTACAAAAAGCTTGAGGTTTCCCATGAACATGAAATAGCAAGTGTGGGTGCCCCTGTCTATACTCCCACAGTGTGTCCTTCTTTCTGTCATAGCTTTTACACTTCCTGTACAGCTGTCTGGTTGAACTGCCTCCTCTCCTCACTATCCTTAGAGTCTCCCACTGATGGGGTTGGATTTTCCCCAACCCATCTGATCCTTCTGCCTTCCCTGACTTAGCATATAGCCTACTGCCTGTCACCTGCAGATGCCTGATAATTGTCAGTTAAAGGAATGAATGGTATCAGAGTCTAACCAGAGGCAACCTCTCAAGCTTCAGGAGTTCCTGCTCAGTAAGTTGTCAGCAATAAACACCTAATGAAGCCAATCTCAACTGTCAATGCTGGGCTTTCTTCTGAAGCCATTCTGAAGGGATTTTCTAAAAGGCCTCCTTTTGAAACAGATGAAAGACCACAAGGCTGGAGGGTGTGGACTAGAAAGAAAGCAAAATCCTTTTGAACAAAGAATGTTGACTTGAGAAAAAGTCTTCCCTCAGGAAGTTTTTCATTTTTAAGTAAGGGAAACAAACCCTGCTAGTCACAGAGAAGGAGAACCAGGCAGAGAAGATGCAATTATCTTTTTCTTTTCTTTTCTTTTTTGGCAGTACTAGGATTTGAACTTGGTACTTTGTGCTTGCTAGGTAAGTGCTCTTCCACTTGAGCCATGCCTCCAGCTCTTTTTGCTCTGGTAATTTTTAGAGATGGGATCTTGCTTTATTCTCAGGCCAGCCTGGACCACGATCCTCTTAATTTAAGTTTCCCCCTGTAGCTGGGATGACAGGAATGCACAACCCCACCAGCCCTTTTCCCATGGAAATGAGGTCTAGAAAACTTTGCCTGGGCTGGAACCATGATTCTTCCAATCTCAGCCTCCCAAGTAGCTAGGATTACAGGTAGGAGTCACCAGTGCCAGACTCAACAATCTCTTAAAAGAAGGGAGGACAAGGAGAGGGGGGGTTGCCATTAGACAGATGTATGTTCAAATCTAGCTACTGTACTCAACATGCTTCATCTTATTCATCTATAAATTGAAGTAATGCTTTGGGCGAATTGAGACTTTAGGGGAAAGTAGGAAGGTAAGAACTGATCTCGACTGGCATTAATGTTTAAATAACAGTTAAACAACAAACTCTTTTTTTTTTTTTTTAACATTTGACTGTTTTATTTTTTTTTTTTTTTTTCTTTTTCATTTTTCAACAACAAACTCTTTAAAACACTTCTGCCTTTCCATTCTCCATCTGCAGAAGTGAATTTCAATGTGCACACTTTGTACAAAGTTTTTTAACAGAGTCTAGGGAAGTTTGCCTTTTATGATAAGACTAGCATGAGAAATTAAACCCAGCAGGCAAAAAATATTCCTTCATGGATTTGACTTTTAAATGACACTTTGGTGCAATGAAAACAGGTTTTAAGGGAAAAATCTCAATTTCTATCAGAAGTTACTCCAAGAAGTCAACACATGAATCAACACAAGAAGAACCAAAGAAATAGGAAATGGGCTAGAAATTACATCTCAAATATGTACAAATGTGGACACATTAACTAGGAAACCCAGCCTTTAGCCAGCTCTCCCTCCACTGCTGCCTGGTACAAGGAGAGCTCCCACCTGTTCATCCAGGTGTCCAAGTCATCACTAAAGGCCCCTCCCTCAACTCCAACACCAGTCCCCTGGCCAATATGATCAGTCTCTCCTCCTAAACATCTACCCCATCTGTTGTCACCAATGGAATTCACATTTATAAACACTGTATGAGATATTAAAAAAATCATCTGTTAAGCCTCAAAAGTAGGGATTCAAAGCTCAATGTATATACAATCACAAGTATCTTTCAGTCCAAAGTAATAAACTACATACAAGGGCACGTAACTACATATCTCTACATATGAAAAAGACTTATATGTTAAAGTTATCACTGGATCTGAGATATGGATAATTTCACTATGCATGAATATATTTTCCAAATTTTTACACAACTAGCATGCATTGCTTTTGTTACTTGAAAACCACTTAAAAGCTTAAATCATTGTGTCTTATTACATTGTTTGCAACTCAGCACAGACCATGTAGTATATAATTTACACACCACATGCAGTGAGCCAGCATCTGAAGTATTCTAATTGGGAATACACCCTCCAAGGGTGTCTGGTTACATTGAAAGACTCCACCTTCCAAATGCCTGTTCCAGCTATCTCTGACCAACACCAGAAATGACTTGTTGTGGATATTCAAGATGTATGGGTTATCTAAAAACACTGCACATGAACAGGGAATTTTAAAAAAAGTATGGATCTAAAATCTAAGGAGCAAAGTGGCACAAACCCTTCAAAACCACTTAGGAATCCAAAATGATCCTGGCTGTGTATCATAATTAGAGAGTTAGGGGCACTGGTTCCAACTGAAGACTGGTTGAATCTGCCACTCACACCATGTCAGCCCTGTCTTTTCTTGCAAGGTGCTGTACCAGTACCTAACAGAGCAACAGGCTGGACCTCACTGAGGTTGTTACATATCAGGTCCTTAGCAGATGAACCCTCAATAGCTGTTAGCTTTTTTATTATAATTATTTGTACTACTGTTTTTATTATATCCCTACTGAATGCCTTTACCAGGCTATCACATCACACTCCAGTGCGGTCCTGAAATGTCTCTTCTCCTCTCTCAGACCTGGGGAGACTTTCAAGTCCTTGAAGCCTCTGTAGGAGCTCTCTGGTCCTTCTCTCTCCTGCTTCCCTCTGCTTTTCCACTCCAAGGGAAATCAGGAGCACATCCCTTCTCACTAAATTGTCTTCTATCACTTCCTGTGCATTAGCTAATCTCTCTTCTTTACACTAAAACCCCTAAAAAGCAAAGATCAGAATCTTCTAGTTTCAGTGCCTCTCCCTGTGACTAGCATCTAAGTTAGAGGAAGGTTCATCCTTACCCATCTATTACCATGAACATAAGTATCAGCTGATATCTTATTAGAAATGCAGGACCTTGGGCCTCAACCTGCCTCACTGAAACTGAATCTGCATTTTAACAAGGCCCAGATGGTCATGTGCACACTGCTGCTAAAGAAGCCTGTGATCCAGTACTGAATAAACAGCTGGTGATGACAGAGACAGAGCCTGCTCACCTGGCCTTCTCAGAGTGAGGACTGGCCAGTGGGCTGGGGAGAACCCTGCCCACCCTAGACTCTGCTGACTGAAGTTGTCAATTGCTTTCTGATAGAGAAGCAGTGCTTCTAGAAAAAGTTCCTTTTTCTAATCAAACAAAAGTGTCTTAAAGACTAGAGAAGACCCACTCCAAGTTCCCAGCAAAATCTTCTCCCACTGTTGAATGGAAGTCATGCACAGAGACTTCCTTCTCCTCACCTAGAGTATAAGAGAACCAGCTAAGGACACTGATTTAGTTACTGGGAACCCTGAAACTCAAATGTTAATATTGTTTTCTGTAAAAACAGAAACCTAGTTCTTCACCATAGCACACTCCACAGATGACCATTTGTTTTACCATCTGCTTCTCCAATTATACCACCAATGCCACAAGGCAGGGACCTTGTCTATTTTGTACATTGCTATTCTGTTCCTTACTCACACAGTACCTAGCATATAGGAGCTGATCAATAAATAGTTACTGAATGAATCAGTGGCTGCATATATCAGTCACAACCAGTAGCTATCTCCCTGGATATACATTATCACACAAACTACTATCATAAACCCCTAGTTCATCCCTTCCTCCTGAGCCCATCTATGGAATCCTATGCAACTTGTACTATGACATAAACAAACTCCTCTTTATCATCAACTTACTCTCACTTTACTCTTCCTTCTGTTCTTCTGAAAAAGTACAGTTATCCTGTAATTGCTTGCCCCAAAGGAAAGATTATTCCCCTCCTGGACACTTGCAACTAAGGGAAGCAGGTCTCTGACATCCTACCGCCCTTCCCTCATAGGAAGACCCTCGTGTTTCCTGGCTCACTGTCCTTCC